AAGTCTGAATCTTATCCTGGCTATCATTTGTATTGCCCGACTTATCACGTCTATGATAAGCACTAACAGCCCCGCCGTGACTGAGAGGGACAATACGAATATCTTAGCACTGTGAGAATCACTGCAGAGCTTACGTTAACTAGAACCGATAACGCTCGCGATCATTCATCAATCAAGCGATACGTAAGGTCTAACTTACACACGTTACGACTAAGCAAAATGGGCCTCAATTCTGGCAGCCCAAACAAATGAACAATTTCAAACGCAGCAAAATCGTCAACAACTATTTAATACTTATTTAAAACAATTAACAAATAAGTGTACGCGCAGACACACACACAGACACACACACAGACACACACACAGACACACACACACACAGACACACACACAGACACACACACACAGACACACACACACACACACAGACACACACAGACACACACACAGACACACACACAGACACACACAGACACACACAGACACACACACAGACACAGACACACACACAGACACACACAGCGATCAAACCCCTAACATCGATGCGCTAGCCATGCGGATCGCACGCCCAGAGAGAGACGAGACATCGCCCTGGAGAGAGATGCCGCCACCACCCATCATCGCCCTCCTCCGTGTTCGCGTGAATCACCTTCGCCACCTTCGCCAATTTCGCCACCTTCGCCACCTTCGCCACCGTCGTCGTCCACACCGCCGCCACGTCCGACTAAAGAGTTTCGTGGGGGGCTACGGCAACCGGGGGGGGGGGAGGATTGGGGGGGGAGGAGGAGGGGGGACAGCCCCCCAGGACCTGGGCAGCTCTCCCTCACGCCAAAAACAAAACCTTCACTCGCGACGTCGTCGCCATCGCCGCCAACGACCGGGACGTGACGAGAGTGGCACGCGGACGAGGGGGACCCACTACCAGGGTCCCTCTACTGGGGTCCCCCTACCAGGGTCCCTCTACCAGGGTCACTCTACCAGGGTCCCACTACCAGGGTCCCCTCTACCGGGGACCCTCTACCAGGGTCCCTCTACCAGGGTCCCTCTACCAGGGTCCCTCTACCGGGGTCCCCCTACCAGGGTCCCTCTACCAGGGTCCCTCTACCAGGGTCCCTCTACCGGGGTCCCTCTACCGGGGTCCCTCTACTGGGGTCCCACTACCAGGGTCCCTCTACCAGGGTCCCTCTACCAGGGTCCCTCTACCAGGGTCCCTCTACCAGGGTCCCTCTACCAGGGTCCCTCTACCGGGGTCCCTCTACCAGGGTCCCTCTACCAGGGTCCCTCTACCAGGGTCCCTCTACCAGGGTCCCACTACCAGGGTCCCACTACCAGGATCCCTCTACCAGGGTCCCTCTACGGGGGTCCCTCTACCGGGGTCCCTCTACTGGGGTCCCACTACCAGGGTCCCTCTACCAGGGTCCCTCTACTGGGGTCCCACTACCAGGGTCCCTCTACCAGGGTCCCTCTACCAGGGTCCCTCTACCGAGGTCCCTCTACCAGGGTCCCTCTACCAGGGTCCCTCTACCAGGGTCCCACTACCAGGGTCCCTCTACCAGGGTCCCTCTACCAGGGTCCCTCTACCAGGGTCCCACTACCAGGGTCCCTCTACCAGGGTCCCTCTACCAGGGTCCCTCTACCGGGGTCCCTCTACCGGGTCCCTCTACCAGGGTCCCTCTACCAGGGTCCCTCTACCAGGGTCCCACTACCAGGGTCCCACTACCAGGCCTCTACCAGGATCCCTCTACCAGGGTCCCTCTACCGGGGTCCCTCTACCGGGGTCCTTCTACTGGGGTCCCACTACCAGGGTCCCTCTACCAGGGTCCCTCTACCAGGGTCCCTCTACCAGGGTCCCTCTACCAGGGTCCCTCTACCGGGGTCCCTCTACCAGGGTCCCTCTACCAGGGTCCCACTACCAGGGTCCCTCTACCAGGGTCCCTCTACCAGGGTCCCTCTACCAGGGTCCCTCTACCGGGGTCCCTCTACCAGGGTCCCTCTACCGGGGTCCCTCTACCAGGTCCCTCTACCAGGGTCCCTCTACCAGGGTCCCACTACCAAGGTCCCTCTACCAGGGTCCCTCTACCAGGGACCCTCTACCAGGGTCCCTCTACCAGGGTCCCTCTACCGGGGTCCCTCTACCGGGGTCCCTCTACCAGGGTCCCACTACCAGGGTCCCTCTACCAGGGTCCCTCTACCAGGGTCCCTCTACCGGGGTCCCTCTACCGGGGTCCCACTACCAGGGTCCCTCTACCGGAGTCCCTCTACCAGGGTCCTACTACCAGGGTCCCACTACCAGGGTCCCACTACCAGGGTCCCACTACCAGGCCTCTACCAGGGTCCCCCTACCAGGGTCCCTCTACCGGGGTCCCTCTACCGGGGTCCCTCTACCAGGGTCCCACTACCAGGGTCCCTCTACCAGGGTCCCTCTACCAGGGTCCCACTACTAGGGTCCCTCTACCAGGGTCCCTCTACCAGGGTCCCAGGGTCCCTCTACCGGGGTCCCCGCTAGTCTGAGGCGCTAGTCTGAGGCGCTGGGCTGAGGCGCAAGTCTGAGGCGCTAGTCTGAGGCGCTAGTCTGAGGTGCTAGTCTGAGGCACCAGTCTGAGGCGCTAGTCTGAGGCACTAGTCTGAGGCACTAGTCTGAGGCGCTAGTCCAAGGCGCTAGTCTGAGGCGCCAGTCTGAGGTGCTAGTCTGAGGCACCAGTCTGAGGCGCTAGTCTGAGGCGCTAGTCTGAGGCGCTAGTCTGAGGTGCTAGTCTGAGGCGCTAGTCTGAGGTACTAGTCTGCGGCGCTAGTCTGAGGTGCTAGTCTGAGGCGGTGCCCTCGTGAGGACCGCTCCTGCGGCTGCGCTTGCTGGGAATCTCCTCCTGGCTGCAGCCCTGGAAAGGGAGGGGGTGGGGAGTTACCCACACACAGAGACCCAAAGACTCACCACACATAGAGACCCATAGACTCACCACACACCGAGACCCATAGACTCACCACACACAGAGACCCATAGACTCACCACACACAGAGACCCATAGACTCACCACACACAGAGACCCATAGACTCACCACACACAGAGACTCATAGACTCACCACACACAGAGACCCATAGACTCACCACACACAGAGACTCATAGACTCACCACACACAGAGACCCATAGACTCACCACACAGAGACCCACAGACTCACCACACACAGAGACCCATAGACTCACCACACACAGAGACCCACAGACTCACCACACAGAGACCCATAGACTCACCACACACAGAGACCCATAGACTCACCACACACAGAGACCCATAGACTCACCACACAGAGACCCATAGACTCACCACACACAGAGACCCATAGACTCACCACACACAGAGACCCATAGACTCACCACACACAGAGACCCACAGACTCATCACACACAGAGACCCATAGACTCACCACACACAGAGACCCATAGACTCACCACACACAGAGACCCATAGACTCACCACAACACAGAGACTCATAGACTCACCACACACAGAGACCCATAGACTCACCACACACAGAGACCCATAGACTCACCACACACAGAGACCCATAGACTCACCACACACAGAGACCCACAGACTCATGACACACAGAGACCCATAGACTCACCACACACAGAGACCCATAGACTCACCACACACAGAGACCCATAGACTCACCACACACAGAGACTCATAGACTCACCACACACAGAGACCCATAGACTCACCACACACAGAGACCCATAGACTCACCACACACAGAGACTCATAGACTCACCACACACAGAGACCCATAGACTCACCACACACAGAGACCCATAGACTCACCACACACAGAGACTCATAGACTCACCACACACAGAGACCCATAGACTCACCACACACAGAGACCCATAGACTCACCACACACAGAGACCCATAGACTCACCACACACAGAGACCCACAGACTCATCACACAGAGACCCACAGACTCACTACACAGAGACCCATAGACTCACCACACACAGAGACCCATAGACTCACCACACACAGAGACCCATAGACTCACCACACACAGAGACTCATAGACTCACCACACACAGAGACCCATAGACTCACCACACACAGAGACTCATAGACTCACCACACACAGAGACCCATAGACTCACCACACAGAGACCCACAGACTCACCACACACAGAGACCCATAGACTCACCACACACAGAGACCCACAGACTCACCACACAGAGACCCATAGACTCACCACACACAGAGACCCATAGACTCACCACACACAGAGACCCATAGACTCACCACACAGAGACCCATAGACTCACCACACACAGAGACCCATAGACTCACCACACACAGAGACCCATAGACTCACCACACACAGAGACCCACAGACTCATCACACACAGAGACCCATAGACTCACCACACACAGAGACCCATAGACTCACCACACACAGAGACCCATAGACTCACCACACACAGAGACTCATAGACTCACCACACACAGAGACCCATAGACTCACCACACACAGAGACCCATAGACTCACCACACACAGAGACCCATAGACTCACCACACACAGAGACCCACAGACTCATGACACACAGAGACCCATAGACTCACCACACACAGAGACCCATAGACTCACCACACACAGAGACCCATAGACTCACCACACACAGAGACACATAGACTCACCACACACAGAGACCCATAGACTCACAACACACAGAGACCCATAGACTCACCACACACAGAGACTCATAGACTCACCACACACAGAGACCCATAGACTCACCACACACAGAGACCCATAGACTCACCACACACAGAGACTCATAGACTCACCACACACAGAGACCCATAGACTCACCACACACAGAGACCCATAGACTCACCACACACAGAGACCCATAGACTCACCACACACAGAGACCCACAGACTCACCACACACAGAGACCCATAGACTCACCACACACAGAGACCCATAGACTCATCACACAGAGACCCATAGACTCACCACACACAGAGACCCATAGACTCACCACACATAGAGACCCATATACTCACCACACACAGAGACCCATAGACTCACCACACACAGAGACCCATAGACTCACCACACAGAGACCCACAGACTCACCACACACAGAGACCCATAGACTCACCACACACAGAGACCCATAGACTCACCACACAGAGAACCATAGACTCACCACACACAGAGACCCATAGACTCACCACACACAGAGACCCATAGACTCACCACACACAGAGACCCATAGACTCACCACACACAGAGACCCATAGACTCACCACACACAGAGACCCATAGACTCAGCACACACAGAGACCCATAGACTCACCACACACAGAGACCCATAGACTCACCACACACAGAGACCCATAGACTCATCACACACAGAGACCCATAGACTCACCACACACAGAGACCCAGAGACTCACCACACACAGAGACCCATAGACTCACAACACACAGAGACCCATAGACTCACCACACACATAGACCCATAGACTCACCACACACAGAGACCCATAGACTCACTCACACAGAGACCCATAGACTCACCACACACAGAGACCCATAGACTCACCACACATAGAGACCCATATACTCACCACACACAGAGACCCATAGACTCACCACACACAGAGACCCATAGACTCACCACACAGAGACCCACAGACTCACCACACACAGAGACCCATAGACTCACCACACACAGAGACCCATAGACTCACCACACAGAGAACCATAGACTCACCACACACAGAGACCCATAGACTCACCACACACAGAGACCCATAGACTCACCACACACAGAGACCCATAGACTCACCACACACAGAGACCCATAGACTCACCACACACAGAGACCCATAGACTCACCACACACAGAGACCCATAGACTCAGCACACACAGAGACCCATAGACTCACCACACACAGAGACCCATAGACTCACCACACACAGAGACCCATAGACTCATCACACACAGAGACCCATAGACTCACCACACACAGAGACCCAGAGACTCACCACACACAGAGACCCATAGACTCACAACACACAGAGACCCATAGACTCACCACACACAGAGACCCATAGACTCACCACACACAGAGACCCATAGACTCACTCACACAGAGACCCATAGACTCACCACACACAAAGACCCATAGACTCACCACACACAGAGTCACAGCATTACCGTCCGACACCAATGAGGTAGGGGATCGTTTCGCTGGACAGACAAACACACGCACACTTACAGACAAACACACGTACACACACACGTACACATCCACACACACACACACACGTACACACAAACACACACACATACACACAAACACACATACACACAAACACATACACACACAAACACATATACACACACACACACGTACACACACAAACACGCACACATACACACAAACACACATAAACACATATACACACACACGTACACACACAAACACGCACACATACACACAAACACACACACACGTACACACATACACACAAACACACGTACACACACGCACAAACACACGCACACACACGCACACGTACACACACACAAACACGCACACATACACACAAACACACATACACACGCACACAAATACACATACACACAAACACACGTACACACGCACACACATACACACATACACATACACATGTACACACACACACACCACGCATCGTGACGGTGCCCTCACCAGGTCAGCCAGCAGTGGAGTGAACTTCCCACTGCTGCTGTTGCCGCTGCTGCTGTTGCTGTTGTTGTTGCTGCTGCTGCTGTTGTTGCTGGGTAGCTCCTCGGTGCCCGGCCCTCGTAGAACCTCGGTTCCACTCCTGGCCAGGGCTGACGCACGGACGGCGCCACCACCACCACCACCAGCGACCATTCCTCCTCCGCCGGCAACGAGCACGGCGCCGGCGGCGCCGTCGGCACCGAGCCGGGGCGCCGGCGACGCCGCCGACGGGCACAGCCGCGCCACCACGGCGCTCACGTTGTCGGCCTTGGTGCCGAGCCGGTGCCAGCGGGACAGCGCCTCCGCCACCAGCGCCTGCGCCAGCGTCAGGTCTACACCGCTGCTGCTGCTGCTGGCACCACCGGCACAACAACCGGCACCACCAGCAGCACAACCACCGGCACCACCAGCAGCACAACCACCGGCACAACCACCGGCACCACCACCAGCACAACCACCGGCACCACCACCGACATCACCACCACCACCACCGGCACCACCACCACCGCTGGCCTGCAGGATGAGACGTGTAAGTGCATGTAGACGTGTGTGTGTGTAGATGTGTGTGTGTGGATGTAGACGTGTGTGTGTGGATGTAGACGTGTTTGTGTGTATGTAGACGTGTGTGTGTGTATGTAGACGTGTGTGTGTATGTAGATGTGTGTGTGTATGTAGACGTATGTGCGTGTATGTAGACGTGTGTGTGTGTATGTATAGTGTGTGTGTGTAGACGTGTGTGTGTGTATGCAGACGTGTGTGTGTGTAGACGTGTGTATGTAGACGTGTGTGTGTATGTAGACGTGTGTGTGTGTGTATGTAGACGTGTGTGTGTGTAGATGTGTGTGTGTGGATGTAGACGTGTGTGTGTGTATGTAGACGTGTGTGTGTGTATGTAGACGTGTGTGTGTGTATGTAGATGTGTGTGTGTATGTAGACGTGTGTGCGTGTATGTAGACGTGTGTGTGTGTGTGTATGTATAGTGTGTGTGTGTAGACGTGTGTGTGTATGTAGACGTGTGTGTGTGTATGTAGACGTGTGTAAGTGTATAGTGTGTGTGTATGTAGACGTGTGTGTGTGTATGTAGACGTGTGTGTGTGTATGTAGGCGTGTGTGTGTGTAGACGTGTGTGTGTGTGTATGTAGACGTGTGTGTGTATGTAGACGTGTGTGTGTGCATGTAGACGTGTGTGTGTATGTAGACTTGTGTGTGTATGTAGACGTGTGTGTATATGTGTGTGTATGTAGACGTGTGTGTGTGTGTATGTAGACGTGTGTGTGTGTATGTAGACGTGTGTGCGTGTATTTAGACGTGTGTGAGTGTATGTAGACGTGTGTGTGTGTATGTAGATGTGTGTGTGTATGTAGACGTGTGTGCGTGTATGTAGACGTGTGTGTGTGTATGTATAGTGTGTGTGTGTAGACGTGTGTGTGTATGTAGACGTGTGTGTGTGTAGACGTGTGTATGTAGACGTGTGTGTGTATGTAGACGTGTGTGTGTATGTAGACGTGTGTGTATGTAGACGTGTGTGCGTATGTAGACGCGTGTGTGTGTATGTAGACGTGTGTGTGTGTAGACGTGTGTATGTAGACGTGTGTGTGTATGTAGACGTGTGTGTGTGTGTATATATAGTGTGTGTGTGTATGTAGACGTGTGTAAGTGTATAGTGTGTGTGTATGTAGACGTGTGTGTGTGTGTATGTAGACGTGTGTGTGTGTATGTAGGCGTGTGTGTGTGTGTAGACGTGTGTGTGTGTGTATGTAGACGTGTGTAAGTGTATAGTGTGTGTGTATGTAGACGTGTGTGTGTGTGTATGTAGACGTGTGTGTGTGTATGTAGGCGTGTGTGTGTGTGTAGACGTGTGTGTGTGTGTATGTAGACGTGTGTGTGTATGTAGACGTGTGTGTGTGTGCATGTAGACGTGTGTGTGTGTATGTAGACGTGTGTGTGTGTATGTAGATGTGTGTGTGTGTATGTAGACGTGTGTGTGTGTATGTAGATGTGTGTGTGTGTATGTAGACGTGTGTGTGTGTATGTAGACGTGTGTGTGTGTATGTAGACGTGTGTGTGTGTATGTAGACGTGTGTGTGTGTATGTAGATGTGTGTGTGTGTATGTAGACGTGTGTGTGTGTATGTAGACGTTTGTGTGTATGTAGACGTGTGTGTGTGTATGTAGACGTGTGTGTGTGTATGTAGACGTGTGTGTGTGTGTATGTAGATGTGTGTGTGTATGTATACGTGTGTGTATATGTAGACGTGTGTGCGTGTATGTAGACGTGTGTGTGTGTGTATACGTGTGTGTATATGTGTGTGTGTGTATGTAGACGTGTGTGTGTGTGTGTATGTAGACGTGTGTGTGTGTATGTAGACGTGTGTGCGTGTATGTAGACGTGTGTGAGTGTATGTAGACGTGTGTGTGTATGTATGTAGACGTGTGTGTGTGTATGTAGACGTTTGTGTGTATGTAGACGTGTGTGTGTGTATGTAGACGTGCCCGTGCTCGCTGCTGCTGCTGTGCGTCCGCACGATGACAGAGCGCCACGGCCTCTGTGGGCGTGAGGACATCCCAGACTCCGTCGGTGGCCAGCACCAGGTAGCGGTGGTGCCCTGGGTCCAGCCTGTAGGCGCTGACGTCCGGCTCGGGGGAGACCACAAACTGGGCGCTCGCAAAGTCGTAGCTCCAGAGGTCCCCTGTGGGATATCGCCAACACACACACACACACGTACACACACACACACACGTACACACACACGTACACACACATACGTACACACACACACGTACCACACACACACACGTACACACACACACGAACACACACACACACGTACACACACACGTACACACGTACACACACACACTCACACACGTACATACTCACACACGTACACACTCACACACACGTACACACACACACGTACACACACGCACACGTGCACACGTACACACACACACGTACACACACACACGTACACACTCACACACGTACACACGTACACACACACACGTACACACACACACGTACACACACACACGTACACACACACGTACACACACACACGTACACACACACGTACACACACACACACGTACACACACACACGTACACACACACACGTACACACACACACGTACACACGTACGCACACACATACACGTACACACAAACGTACACACACACACGTACACACACGAACACACACACTTACACACGTACACACACACACGTACACACACGTACACACACACACACGTACACACACACATGGACACGTACACACACGGACACACGTACAACAACAACAACAACAACCGCCATTCGCCACTAAGTGGCGGTGACGTCACCACGACGCTTGTGCCAGGCTATGTGCACCCTGAGGCCACGTGAAGTGTCGAACGCCCGCTGGCAGGAGGTCACGGGGCAGACCCAGGTGCCACGGGTCGACTGACTGAGATGACTGGCTGATGCACCACCTGTGCCCCCTACTGTGCCAACCTGCTGTGCTTTAGCCACCCGGCGCTCCGCTCGCTGTTGTGAGCGTCGCTCCTCCGCCCTCCGTTGTTGTTGGAGGGCGACTGCCTCCAACTGCCCAGTAGCATCCTTCACGAGCCTCCTCCACAGAGGCCGATCTTGACACCGCTGGTACCAGTCATCGGCAAGTCCACTCAGCTCCACGTCCTCCTGTACCACATCACTCCATCTCTTCTCTAGCCCGTGCCGCGCCCGCTTAGCCCCCTCAATCCGGCCAAACAAAAGCTGTTTCGGCATGCGGTGGCTGGGCATGCGGGCTACATGACCCAGCCATCGCAGCCTTGCCTGCCGGAGGAGCTCACCGATGGGACCCTGCCCAGATCTTTCAAGGATTTGTGAGCTCCTCACACAATCCAGTCTGGTTAAACCCAGGATGGATCGTAGGCAGGTCAGCCTAAATGTTTCTAACCGGCGAAGATGTTCCATTAGGGGGGTCCACGTTTCGCAAGCGTAGAGAAGGGAGGGAATGACCGTGGCCGAGAAGACCTGAAGCTTAGTGCGGAGCGACAGACCAGGTAGCTTCCACACAGCCTTACGCAACCGATGAAAAGATATTGCCGCTCGACTGATTCGGAGTGAGACCTCTGCTGTTAAACTGGAGCCAGTCATAAGCACACTGCCCAGGTATGGGAAACTCTCCACTCTCTCCACAACTGCCCCATCACCGATTGGGAGTTGTGGGGGTGGAGTGTCCGATGGTACAAAATACCCAGGCAGGTGCTTAGTTTTGGTGGGGCTGATGGTAAGGCCCCACCTCTTAGTGGCACGCTCCAGTCTCAGCAGCAGCGTCTCCAACTCCTCCTCTGACTGAGCAGCTATTACCAAGTCATCAGCATACATAACGTGGTTGAGCAATAGGGAGCCATCCCTTGACCGCACCCGGGCATCGATTAGCCTCCCATTATATCTGTACCATATGGAGATTCCCCCGGTACAGCTATTGAAGGCTTCACGAACTACGTGGTCAAAATAGATGTTAAATAATGTGGGAGCCAGAGGACATCCCTGTCGCACCCCAAGGTGTACAGGGAATGGCTCTGACTCCCGGCCACGTAGTTTTACCCGGGCCCGCTCACCATCATGAAGGTCCTTAATGATCGTGAGCAGAGGGTCAGGTACTCCAAAAGCACGAAGAACGACCCAGAGCCCAGGCCTACTGATGGTATCATAGGCCTTGACCAGGTCAATAAAGCAGAGATGTAGGTCTTGTTGGAATTCCCTACACCTCTGCTGTAGCAGACGGACAGAAAATATGGCATCTGTGCAGGACCGCCCTTTCCTGAAACCGCATTGGGGCTCCGCAAGCCTCTCCTCAGCGTGCCTGGCAAGGCGATGCTGAATAATCCTTGCCAGGACCTTTCCCGGCACACTGAGGAGTGAGATGCCCCTGTAGTTGTTACAGTCTGTGCGGTCCCCCTTCTTAAAAAGGGGGACCACCAGGGCATCCTTCCAATCCTGCGGAACCCGTCCAGTGGTCCAGACTGTTGTTATGATGTCATATAGGGCAGTCTGTGCACAAACGCCACCCTCCCTCAGCATTTCGCTTGGGAGATCATCTCTGCCCGCTGCCTTTCCTGGTCTCAGACTCCGTATCGCCTTCAATACTTCCTCAGCAGATGGCACCTCAGCCAGCCACTCACAGGGGGTGACTTCATCCAATATTTGAGGCACCGCAGCCTCAGCAGGGTCATCCTCACTTTGTGCCACGATGTTTTCCTGGCTGTGGGATTTTCCCTCCCCCAGGACCTCACAGAAATGCTCAGCAAATCTGCGAACCTGTTCCTGGGGGTCGGAAATTGGATCACCGTTTTTTCCCCTAATGATGGTAATAGGTGTGGCGCTGCAGGTTACTTTTTTGAT